ACCTTGAATGATTATTCGATGGTTTCACTGGGACGTTTGATCAAAGGGAAATTCGATCGATGTGGTCGCCGAGGTCGCTGGTCTGCCCTGCGCCGTAACATATGAAATATTATTATACACGAGTAAAAATTTTTAATTCCAAAATCTTGGCTCTTTCAAAAGTAACAGAAGAAGTTCTATTAAAAACTTGATGTTAGAACCAATATTCATTGTCAGGACCAGGACCGGCGAAAAGTATACATTTCAGGTGGGTAGTACCATGGGAGGGGGGTCACGTATTTAAGTTTTCTTAAAGGGAAGTATGATAATGGTATAAAAATATGGAGTTTATTCAAAATTCTTTAATTGAAGTCGATCAATATAGTTTGGATTTTTTCTAATTTTTGTAAAAATTCCAGGTGGGTAATTACTTACCCACCTGGAATATTTTCATGTGGGTAGTACTACCACAGTAACCACATCTTCCGCTGGCCCTGGTCTGGACCACCTCTAAAGAATTTAATTCAACAATTGAGCTTACATTCTGATTCTTTTGATTATAAGAATACAAAACAAAAAAACATTATGGAAGGTTCTATTGTAAATAAATTGCCACTTGCTTACTGGAAAATCTGTGATAACAATTTTATTCAGGATTTTTATCAACATTCATTTCTAAATAGAAAGAATTAGACAAATTGAATCTATACAGAGTATGGCCAAGTGTATTAACAGTTTAATTTGAAATAATCCATAATCATGTGTGATTGAATATTAATCTCATATCACTTAACTATTGAATAAACTTTAGTCATTATGAAATGAATACTTCAAAACAATATAAAAAACTACAGTGTCTTCTTCGATCTGTTACTGGGAAAATTATTATCTTAGAGGTAGCGAGTAATTATTCTTTTCAATGCCTAAGTAACTTTGACCAGAAAATAAATACATTAGTAAATAAAAACAAGTAGAAGAATGACAGCTGGAGAGTGAGACTGATTTATAATATGCAGAAAGTATTATTAACTGCAGGGTTGAGTGAACAATTTCGTTAAAAAGACAGTGATTTGTTTATCTAGTCCATATTGAAGAACTTCATTTTTGTGCAGAGGAACAACACATTCTGCAGTGTCCCCTTCAGACTGTCTTCGTGCAGAACTGAAATACCATGTATTACTTCTATGTTGAAACAATGTTTGTTCCAACAACAATGCCAATATTTCACAGTATTATGAAATGTTTTTGTCTAATTTTCCTTCAATTAATTTCATAAAATTTGCACAACATCATGCACATTATCATTAAAAATGTTGGGCAAATATGAAAAGGCACTTGCTTAACAATTCATAAGTTTAGTCAACATGAGGATATGAAAGTTCAGTAGTGCCTGTAGCAATATTGTACTAGTACATTTTATATTGAAACAGAATGTAACACCTTGGTTTGAAATTCAAAAATAAATATGTACTTATGAAACTCTGAAGTACATCATATTCATTGATTCTCATATCCATTTTCTCCACTTTCAATTTCAATTCAAAATCTCAGTCAGCCATTGTTCACATTTCAGAGATAAAATATGACTCAAATGAGATTTCATTAGTGAGTATTCCCACTTTTCCCTGAGGTAAAAATGCCACCAATGCACTTCTGTTCATCATGAAGCAATTCAAGTGCTTATTAAGGTACTCACAGCTGAAAAGCTAGCAAGTGCCTTTTCATAGAAAAGTTGACCAATAAACAACATTCAAAATGAAGAAAGAGAATGGGAAAAAGAAACGTGATACTTTGTCTATGTATAACGCTGTTTCCCTACCATTACAAAATGTGGCATATTGTGGAATAGTAGCAGTTATAGGTCTCATTGGTTGTACTGGTCCTTGTCCACAAGTATCTAGTTCCTGAAAAAAAAAAGATAATACTTTTTAGAAAACCATGAGCTCAAATACATTTTTTTTAATTTAAGGTCGCATGAACTTCTAGGTCATTAGCACCATTATTGCATGTAACGGTATGGTAACTGTGAGGATAACACGATATGATGATGATAGGAGGTGAAAGGACAAACACAATACAACCATGCCCGAGGTGGAACTTGAACCCACGATCCTTCAAACCGAGATCGCTACGGCACTACTGCCTTAGCGATCTTGGCCATGCGGACTGGCACGATATTTTTAAAATTAATTTAAGAGTTGTTTTGAAAATAAATTCAAAATACAATACGAAATAATTATTTTGAATACCACTGAAACTAAATTTTAGGCTGACAAATTGAATTGAATTCTCTTTATTCTATCCCTTCTTTCTATTTATTTGAATTCTAATTACTTTCTATGGTTTCTAACCTGCTTATTTACAAAACAAATATCAATCACTTATCTTCAACAAAAAAAATATTAACAAGTATGCACAACATAATTGAAAAGAATATTACAAGTTCACATGTACACTGGGTTCCTTTTTATAGTAAATGGATGAGATTTGATTTAGCAAACAATCAAAATGAGTTTTGATCTTTTATAGAAGATCACAGAACAATACCCAAAATTTGGCATTTCCACTCAGACTGCAGTATCACAACTCGTATCACACCACAACAAATTTGGAAAACTTACAGGAGTTTATGTAATATTTTTTATAATAATTATGCAGCACGGGCACCACAGGCCTTTCATTTGTGAAGTACAATAAAAAATAATTATTAATAATACTTTGGAATATGTTTAACCTTGATATTACATGTCAGAATCATTAGTGACTCTTCTAGTGCTCTAAATGAATTGAACAGGTTGATTTTTTAATTATAATACATCATACATTTGTAAAATCTCACAATACATATGTATTTTCTCCATTAGATCACAGTTACTTATAATTGAAAACTCTGATTACCTTGATCATGATTTCTTAAAAACTCAAGCCTTCTTTAATGGATTTTCTTATAAACAAATGAAAAAAAAAGTATTACTATTATTATCAAGTATTATTTCAAAAAATGACAGAAAATGGAAATCCATGTAATGAAAAATACTAATACAAATTTTTAATATAGTAACTGCCTACTTCTTTTTCAATATTCCAGCTACAAATTTAATATAGATAAAACAGAATGGTTTTATATGATTTTTACTGGGACTAAAGTTTTCTTTTACGGCACTTATATGGCTGCTTTCTTAATGGCTTCTAGATTTACAGACTTCAATGTACAGCTGTGTGTTAACAATATTCCTGTACATGTCATGAAATTACAATACTCTAAAATGAATAAAGAACTGAAAAAATGTTTTAGATTTGCTTCAAATATCAGAAAATTATGTCAATAATTGCCAGACAATGAGAGAACTACTGTCAATTTATATAAAATAAGGAAGCTCATTAGTGTCACTGACACACCTGGGTATGGTAATCTTAATGTTTGGAATTACATTGCAGAATTTAACAAACTTAAACAATTAATAGGAGTATCATAAGATTTTAAAACAAAATAAAATCATCAATCAATCTGTAAAATAATGTTAGTGCATGATAATGAGAGAAAATAAAGAGATGTACTTTTATGTTCAGCCACAGGAAAATATAATTACTGCAGTTTTTCATCAAAAAAATTAATGTAACAAGCTGCAAAGCAATTATCTCATTTTTGGTGAAAAATTTCACATTATCCTTCTCTTACAAATCTTACATTGTACCACTTTATTGTTTCTCTTAATTTCAAACTTCAGTTCACGCCAATTCAGGATATTTGACTTGGGGTTGAGAGCTAAATAATTCTGCAGTAAAAATGACAAATGACCAAAAATCTTTTCCTTTTGAGATAATATCTTCCGTTTTCATGAGAACTTTTGTAAAATATTGCTACATTTCAGTGTTCCATTGTTTCATGTGAGTTTCTACAAAATCGATACTTCTCAGTGTATATTATAGATCTTGCACGATTCTGCTTTCCAGTTATGTAAAACATTTCGTAACGGCTAAGGAAGAATGCCGTGAATGTAGCGTCAAGTTTTTAAGGAGTTTTTCAAAATAAATCTCTGACTTTTAAGCACAGTAAATAAAATTCAATGCTATTGGATGAGGGATAAAAACATATTTTGTATTTTAAAATTAAAATCATTTAATATGTACCATTTACTCATATGTAACACATCATATGTAAAACTCATATACTGATATGTTAATACTCATATTTTAAACATATCAACAATATGTTTCTTATATTATGTTTTATGCTGCATTAATTTGCTTTTTAATTTTTGTGTTTTTGTAAGGTTTTGGATGGTTTTAACCAGATGGCTAAGATAGCCCTTCGTGCACATAAACTCCATACATTTTCTCTGTAAATATTATCAAAGGCTTTTTCATAAAGAGGATGAATGTAGGTAACTTTTCTTTTTTGAAATGTTTGCTGTATGATATAGTACACAATCTGAACATGATCTTCCTTTTCTGAAACCTCACTGCTCTTCTCTTACTTATTACATTTAATGGGCGAATAATTGTTTTGAGTACAATTTATAGGTGTTTAGCAAAGTAATTTCTAAAATATCTCCTTTTGTATGGTTTGTCCATAGATAAGAAAAATATGTTAATCAATGTTCTGTGCAAGGCTTCTTTGTTATTGTCTTTACTCAATAAGTGATTTGAACCTAATATTTTATGTACAAGAAAGTCAATTGTGTTTAAGACTTTTTCTTTTTTCTTTTTTCTTTTTTTTTCACTCACTTTTTCAAGAAATTTGCAACTTAAACTTTTAGATTATATTTACATCATTTTCCCCTTTTGAACAAGTTCTCTGAAGCAATTACTGCAAATGATCTAGTGTATCAAATGATTTGATATGAATGGCATTTGTCTCTAAAACAAATTTACACATTTTGTTGTACAAAGAAATGCATTGGGAGTCTTTAATCACTAGAAGTGTAGGTTTTAAATGTAATTAATATCTACAATATAAATTACTACTTTACTTTAACAGTTATAATATGCAAGAAGTACAAATCAATTGTTGTCACCTTGAAATCATCGAGTGCAGATCTTATATCTTCTTCTGAATAGCCTTTCATCGCTTTGGTAGCAACTGGACCCATGTAGTTGTTGACTACAGCAAATTCCATCAAAGAAAGGAAAACAAATACAGAACATGAAGACATCCATACATCAATAGCTTTCACATATGAGACTGGTGGTAGAGACTTCTGTGACTGGGTATTTTGTGTAGCTGAAACAAAGAAAAACTTTCTCTCAAAACTAGAAATCAACCCCCATTATAAGGTCTACCTTTACAGTGTCACATTACTGAATGCCAAGCATTGGTTGCAAACATCTTCTACATTACCATCTACTAACTTATATTTTTTTAGTGTGAAAATGTGTGTAAAAAGCAGTAGTTATATTAGAGTGAATTCCTGTCATTCAGACATTATTAGTGGAAACAAGGGTGAATTTCCTGTTAAGGTTGAAGGCCACAGAACTTTCATACATTTAGTCAACCATCTTTCAATGTAGCATACCTGTGATTGTTATTTATCAACTAGAACAATGTATTTTCTAATCCTTGACACCAGACAATTTCTCTATTGCTTGTGGTTATTGCTGGGCCAGTATTTTCATTGTATAGGATGTATATTTTTCAAGATTCACATATTCTCAGATATTTTTAAATTTAAATGTATTGAGGAGAACATATTGCAGACCCACATTTAAAATGAACTAGTGATGCTAAAACACCACATAATTTCTCGCTCTTAGTAGTTGTGTAATATTATTGTACCACAATTTCTATCCACATCAACACATGTCAATGGTCATTGGCAACGGAATGCATGCAGCACGTGATGCAACAATGGACACATTCTTTTTTATCAATTCTTGCCAAAAAATCCATTTTTGCCATAAATGGAACTGTTTTTCAGTTTTCATTGTTGTGGATTTTATGAAAATTCATTTAAATGAAGACTACCAACCAAGCAAATCCACAATTAGTATCTTCATAATTAATGTTTTGAAATAGAATTATAGTTATAGATGGCCCAAGAAGGCAGTAATGTAACAAAACATTACTTTATAATTTATTTTATTAACAACGAGTATATATTTAAACTACCACAGAGCTTGAATTCAAACTCTTATGCATATAATAATATTAACAGTAGTTCAGTAAGTGAAACTCTTAAATAATTGTGTTTTATTGGGTGGTGTATCCTACATAAAATTATATCTGTGCCTTCTTTTTTTAGGTGAGAGTTGTTTATGTATTAAATTGCTAATGCACAGTGTACATTCGAATAAACATGTACATTTGTAGCCAATACAACAAAAGTTTCTATCGCTGACTGCTAATCATATTGAATAAAAAAACTAATTTTAAGCTCATTATAAGAAGATTACAATTATTACAATTCATTATTTATCATTTGCTTTTTTAGAGAAACAGTAATTACTTTATCAGCTTGGTAATCAGAGATAAATTTGTGATAACGCCACCTGAAACGATATTCAGGAAATTCGAATTTACCATTTTGAATTTTTTCAATTTTCGAAAATATGGAGAATGGTACCAGTACTACTTTCTTGACCGTCCTTTTCTACATACGTGGAAAAAAAAATTTAAATGGAGCTATTTCTGAAAAAATAAATGTTTGAAATTTAAAAATTGAATTTTGAAGCAAAATTACGCCAAAAATATTAATATTTTCGAAAAATTGAACATAGCGTTATTTGAAGATCAGTTTCTGATAAACACATTTCATTCCAAAAAAAATATCTTCAAAATTGTGGTTGTAGGAAGATCCCAAAAAACTTTTGGATTTTTCCAATTTTCGAAAAATCAAGGATTTTTTACGAAAAACAGACCTGCACCGTCATCTTAAGCGTCCTTTACGCTATGCCACGTCAAAACTAATCAAAAAATTTGGGGCCGTCTTTTAGAAAAAATGTTTGAACAAATTAAAAATTGCCCATATTTCACGCAAAATTACGCGAAAACTACTCAAATTTCGAAAAATTTTACAGGACCTTATTTCATCATCTGTCATTAAAAAACAGATTTTATTACGAAAATCTCTATCATCAATACTTTAGTAGTAGGAAGACACCGAAAAAATGTTTATTTTTGCAATTGTCGAAAAATATGGGATTTCAACGAACATTAGACCTGCAACATTATCTTCAGCGTCCTTTACGTTATTCAACAACAAAATTTTATTAAAAAAATTGGAACCATTTAAAAAAATGATAATATTCCAGGGGATTCATATAAAGTACTCTCGAAAATTAAAATATTGGTTTCGAATTCAATACGTAGCCGCAACATCAGCTAGATCGATTGGGGATTACCAATATTAGACAATATCGGCTGAACGGCTAGCGTTGTTCGCGGACGTTTTGCCGACAATCGATTTTTCGATATCAAGGACCCACAAAACATGGATGACACGTTATGATGACAGGTGTTAGAGGAAGTGTTTTACTATAAATAGTAACTCGATGTATCCACTTTTCCTTACCAGGGCCCCGCAATAAGAGTTTTTCTGCCGAAAATTCGCCGGTTTTTCTCTATCTTTTTTTTTAACAATATTTTCTCTATACTGCGTGGGCAGCAGCAAGAAAGTTAAAAGTATGCGTTCATCACATTTACATAAAAACATGTTCATATCATATTTCCTTCGTTTCGTTCACATTTCATAAATACACCATGAGAAAAATGGCAGTGACCCATTGGAAGGCGCGGAAGAGTTATCTCCACTCACCTAGCACCACGTGATGAGGAAGCCCAAGAAGTCCTTTATTCTCGTGAGCTTAAATTCCGAGTTCTGCCACTCTGCCATGCTTTGAGTACGGAACGCCTAATAAAGTGGCTTCGTATCGTCTATAAACACTAAGCATATCTAACTCTAGTTTCTTCACGGCCAACTTTGCTGCCGGGTCAGCTATTTTGTTTCCTCTAATTCCCGCGTATCCAGGGACTCGGTAAACAACAAAATTGTAATGATGCTGAATTAGATATGTATTTTACGATGAATTTTCATTGTTAAGGGGTCGCAAGAAGAGAAGGATGAGATGGATTCGAGAGCACTTTTGTAATCACTGCACACCACTACTTTCTGTAATGTCGCCAATTGAGCGTGTTTAAACGCCCTGATAGCATATATTTCTCCGCGGTGTATGCAATGCGCGACGGTACGAAAACTGCGCGTAATGTGACGATAAAGGCACATCCTACTTTGCCATTGTGTGAGGAACCGTCAGTGTCAATAAGGATGCGGCCAGCGTTCCTGGATTTTATCTCTTGAAATTGTTTTAAATATATAATATATGGTGTCGTTTTAAGAATGCAGGGCAGTCTAAGGTCTATTATGGCCCGGAGAAGTTTTCAAGGAGAAAGAGGACTTCGAAGGCCTTTCACAGGTTTGGGGTGTTGTACGTTGAGTTTTTGCAAAATAGTACAGAATCGGATACCCGGGGGGATGAAGTACGTATGGTCTGAGTATATATGACGCTCGGGGAGTATCTACAGCCGATGATTTCAAACAATAAAAGCTGATCAAAATATTTCGCCGTCGGCACAGAGACGGTTCTCCAGCCTCCGCGAAGTAGCATTCGAAGTAGCTCGGGCTGTAGGAGCTTGTGCAAATACGTATGCCGGCATTGTAGAGAGAATTCAACGGACGTTGACGGACAAACAACAAATTTTGTCGGAGACGCTCACCTGAACACAATACTACCATATTCTAAGAAACGGTATGTGAGTGTCCTGTATAACCGCAAGAGACTATCTGCACCCCATGAGCTACCATTAAGGATACGGCGGAGGTCCATTAATGACATATACCGGGTTTTCAAACTGTGTATGGACAAAGTTCAAGAGCGACAAAATCATATCACACACCGAAAAAAAAAGAAGAAAAAAAAAACCCACCTCTATTGTACCGCCAGATGACATTTCAATACCATCACATTTTATAGGACTCCGGTCGGTTTTTCATTATTTATTGCTTGTGAAGGCATTGTATGAGAAAAATCTGTTTATGTATAATATGTGAAAATATCCAAAACAAACAGATTCTATCTCGCTTCAGTTGCTCAAACTTTACTGTAAAATCTAGGTAACGCAGGAAATTATGATGTAGATGTCCGAGCTTCATTAAAACGTCGGAATTTTCGAAAATTGCTTCAACATTTTTTCAACGTATCCTACACTTTAATTCCAAATTCAATCTATTCCTCTGTATGCGTACATTAAGTGATTTCATGTACAGTTTTTTTTTCTTTTCAAAATATTAGTAGTTTTCACATAATGTTGAGACAAATCGTGACGATTCTTCAAACATACCGAACAAGATTTTCTCGAAAACAGCTCAACGTTTCATAAAATCATTTCATACAGGTAGAACACAATACACTAAATCACACGCAATTAGCGTCTTTTTGAATACCGCTCTTGAACATTCAAGAATTTAAAGTACTACGTTGTTTTGGAACATTTCAAATGTTAACAATTACATTATAGGCGTATGTGATAATTTTTCGCATGTTTTGTAAACACAAATACATCAAATGATCTTTTTTTAACATTCTTGAAATTTTGAAAGCATTTGTGAAATAACTCCTTTTTTATATGCATACATCATTAACACACTCTTTCGTGGAGTTGCTGTAGAGTTTCCGGCAAGGTCGCGAACATGTGAAGGTCGAAGTGCAAATATCAGGAAAGGCAAAGGCCCAATTTTTTTCTTGAATAAATTAAAGTCCGCTTATAAATATGGTATGATTTGCATTAAAACGTGTGAATTTTGGAAAATTGCAAATCGCCAAACATTGCAAATTCGAACTGTTCGCCTTTTGTAGGGGGGAGGGGGTAGAACTATTTTTTCAAGAGATGGAGATGAAGAATTAATAGGAAACAAGTTATATTGTAACGTTACGCAACTGTTACAGACAATACAAATAACTATGTGCTGTTGCACCACTAGCCGTGAAGTCAGAAAATTAATTGTTTTATTTTGAGAAATGTTGGTTTCATTTAGATAAAAGTGGTGCTAAAGACATCACGAAATATTTATTAGTAAATATTATGAAAAAACGTGATACATACCCAAAGTGAGCAGTGAAGTTACTCCAAGTGTGACTCTTGCAGGTATAGCTTCAGGCTTTATCCAAAATGAAATCCACGACATAACAACAATTAATGCTGATGGTATGTAAGTATGAAAAAGATGATAGCCTAAACGTCTTCTCAAATTAAATACTACTACTAAACATGTGAAATTTCCTGCAAAAAATACGATTATTACATTAATGTAACTTCAATTTAAAATTCAAGGCGAATAGGTTTGTCTTTCATTTACCGTTTATTGATGAAATACATATCATTCATCATTGTGTGTATACTATTGAGCGCAGTTTTGTCACATTCTAATCCTGTAATCTTCAATCATCAATAAAATAATACGAAACTATCACTACAACAATGTAAACTATAAACCACCAATATGTTTTTACCTGTTGAATATTCTATAGTGCAGTCAGCGGTGTAATTGTTGGAGATGTCCAACTGTGGTAGTTCAATTTCTGGATTCACAACAAGCGGGTCAGTCATATTCCACAAGAATACCAAATCATGGACAGTGTGCGACACTAAAAAAAAAACCATTATTTTCATGTTCTTAAAAGGCATAAGAAAGGAGTGTGAGGAGATATGGTATCGAAGTTCACAAATTTGAAGTTCACCATTAGCATCATTAGAACTTGAAAGTGCTTCTTGTCAGTTGCAATTCTGAACAAGTTAAGTCGAAAATCATAAAACGTTTATGTTTATGAGATATAGTTTTAAAGCATTAATTGATTTCTAAATTTTGTACTCACAGCTTTCTATCATCATGGAGCACACTTGTGTATCATGTGGATATGACTCAAATTTCATTGCGCAGGATAGCACCAGAGTTAACCTGCAAAACATAAAAGGTGGTATGTATATTTCACTAACAAACACCGGCACAAAGTGATTTATATGAAATAAAGCCAAAATTCAGCGTGGTGTGACAATGAAAACGCAGCAACACAATATAAGACGTTCATTTTCAATGAAGATAAGTGCGCTTTACTTGTTAACCTTTTTAATTGCACTTTAACTCCAAAGATCGGAAGGTTTTTTCCCACGTGGGAACTTCAACAATTCACACAGAACATGATCAATTCCCTCCTTTTGCACTATTTTCTTTTTCCTGTAAGACAAAAATCATATTCAGTCTTGTAGTTTTGCTTAACGTTATGCAATTTTCGAAAATATAGAGTGTTTGCCGAAAATAGGACCAGAACCGCTTTTTAACTAGTCTATTGATACATACGAGAGAAAATTTAAAGAAAACGTTTGCATCAATTTTAGAGAAAATACTTTTCACGTTCTCGTATACGTACGTATATACGTAGTACAGAGAATGTTATGTAATGCTGCGGAAATCGATTTTTATATATATCAACGGAAATACACTACCGCCTAAACCATACGTAAGATTTTTTTCCAAAAAGGATATTACCCGGTTGATCTAATTCGACTCAAGGTGCTGCGATTTTGAAAAACTTTTTTAAAAATTTCTGGGTATTGTACATAAAGCCCCTGGGACATTTTCAAAATATTCTTAAAACTGGCTCCAATTTTTTTCTTTACTTTCTTTGAAATAATAGAGCAAATTACACTTATAAAAATGACACAGGTCCGATTTTCACTTTTACCTCTGATTTTTCAAAAAATGCAAAATTTTTATTTTTTTCGGCGTTTACCTACAACTACAAAATTGAAGATAGAGATTTTTCCTTTAAATAAAATTTGTTCTACATAGTTCTTTCAAGAAGATCATATTATATTTTTTGAAAGTTTTAGTAGTTTTCGCGCAGTATTGCGTGCAATATGTGCAATATTAAATTATAACAAAAACAAGATTTTCTTAAAAACCGCTCTAAATTTCTCTTTAAACTTCTGTTAGTCATAGTGATAAATTTACTCTATAAGATGATATAAGCGCCATATTGTTCTATTTGTTGTTTCAAAAATTACAATTTTTTACTCTTCTCTCACCATGGTAACATTTACATTAGCGACGATGTGTTTACATTATTGTACATGTTCTTTAAACATTGTCAGATAAAGATTATCGAAATCTCAACTGTTTTCGGTGAAAATGAGCACAAATTTTGCATTTTCAGAAACGTTCAAACGCCATTTTCTCAAAAACGGCTCTAAATTTGTTCCTCAAACTTTTTCAAGGAATAGTCCTATTGCACTCTTTAATATGACATAAAGTTTGTTTGAGGGTATTCTTTTGCTTGTTAAAATAATAGACAAATATAATCGTTTTGAAATATCTCTCTCATCTTGAGTATGCTTATTTTCCGCGATTGGCATACATTATTGCTTTTGTGAGTGGATGTGCTTTAAACGGCTTTTTTCGAAACTCAAAAATTTTCTGTGAAAAAGAGCTTCAAATTTTGCATTTGGTGTAACACTTAAATACCTTTTTCTGAGAAACGGATCCAAATATTTAAATGAAAATTGACATATAGAGGACGGTGTTTTACTCTTTAATATTGTTAAAGTAATATATCGGTTCTACCTTTAGGACCCCGAAAAACTGAGAAAAAGAAAAGAAAAAAAACGTAGTGTGGGCGGCGATAGACTGCAGCTGACCAGAATATATGGCAAGACCGAAAAACTAGACCAGCATAAGAAATTAAAAAAAACTAACTAGTATGAGAAAGTCTGTGTCATTCTGTAGCACCACTAGTTTAAATTGCTTTTATTTGACGCCAAATTATGCGAAAACTACACACATATTGGAAAAATTGTACATAGCATTATTTCAAGATCTGTCTTTGTAGAACATATTTTATGACAGAAGAAAATTCTCTCTTCAATATTGTAGTTCTAGGAAGGCGCCCAAAATATTGAACTTTTGTAATTTTCGAAGACTAAGGGATTTGAACAAAAACGAGACCTAGGCCATTCTTTGAAGCATTTTCCACCATTTCAAAAACCAGAGTTTAATAAATAAATTGATGCCATTTTTTAAAAATTTTGAAAATATTATTGAAGGTTTCACCAAAAATTAAAATATCCATTTCAAATTCGTATGGCCACGAGTTCATTTAAATCGATTGGGAGAAATCGATTTTGGTGAAAATTGGCTGAATGATTTTAACACAAACGATAATCACAGACAGGTCCAGACGGAAGGAGAAAAGATGGACGGGCAGACGGACAAAAAGACTTTTGCCGTCAATCGTTTTGTCAGTATCAAGTAACCACAAAACATCGATTCTGACTACACGTGTTTGAGGAAGTAATTTACTATTTACACAGGAAAAAGATTTATTCACTTTTTCGCTACCAGATGTATTGATTTATCCACTTTTTCATTACAAGGGGGTATTGATTTATACGCTTTTTCGTTACCAATGGTATTGATTTATACATTTTCCATTAGAAGATATTATTGGTAGAGTATTGTTTAACCGATAATAACACAAATATCAAACTTAGTAGGTTATTTGCACTCTGTCTGCCTAATAACATTAATACCTTTTTTCACGCTCATCTCTAATTTAAATTTACCTAGTTTGCCATTCGTAAGGATTATATTGTTTTGAATATTGCCGAAGCATCGACAGTTCAACACAATTGAAAGGTGTTAAGCAAGAAAGAAGTGTGTAAGTTCCATGCAATGCAATAATGGACACTGTCAATGTAAAATAGTGAGTTTTATTATTCATGTGGCAAAGTAACTTTTTTAGAAGTCTCAGAAATGATTTGATTAGTACGGTTTTTAAATTCCATCGTAATATAATCTACTTTAATAAAATACTTAGCTTAATTTAATGGTGTTGTAATTGTGTTGATACTTCATGTTTACTTTTCTGACCTAGATCGAGAGAGTTCTCGGCTAAGATCTAATTATGACCCTTTTCGTACTATACACGTCCGTAAAATCCAACGTGACAGGTGAGTCTGACAAACAAGTACTTTCGAGAGTTTCCACTTTCTGTACTTTAATGCATTTCTTTTGTATAATGGGGACTGATGACTGAGGCGGCAACCGCACTGTGTGGTACTGAAGGTTGTGATAACACACGTCATTATGGTGTAAAGGCAAACGAAAACACTCCACCATCACACACAATGGTATTAATTCATATTTACACAGAAACGGAGATAAAAATACAAACCTTTCCTTTGAAACTTCTACGCCTACTTTCGGTAGGGGGCGAGAGTATTTGTGTGTGTTGTTAGAATGAATGTTACAAACACTCTGACATGTAGAGGTATCGAAAATTATACTTTTCGTCAACGAAAATATACTGTGAAATTGCATATAAAGGAATTATATGCATTTACACATGGGGCATTTGTCTCTGATATCCTGGCAACTCCGTATGTGTAGATATTCGACAGCCACATTTAATCTCCTTGACTACGACAGAACGTGACCTGCCGAACATCTGTGCACATGAGGTTTGCCTAGAAATTAGGAACGAATTCTATATCTATAAATTCATATAACATTGTTTTTATTTTGAGACACTTGTAGATAGCTACTTACTTTGACATGTATAGCAGCGTTTTGTCATGATACAACCAGAGATAGTGGTTGGGAATACTCATTTCGTGGAAGGTCACTTTCTTAGCGTTCTTGAAAAAGCAGTCTGGTCTCCAAATGTCTTTTAACCACTCGACATCTAGGATTCGATATTCTTCGCTCATGTACTCCGGCAGACGTAGCCTTGAGTCACGCCAACTCTGTGCCAGGAATATATCAGCAACGTAGGTCTGGGAAATAATTAAAAATATTTACTTCAATAATGAATCATTTATGAAACTGAGAAAAAATGTCAACTAAATATATTTTAGTTCACTGAAGAACTGGTAGGAAACGCCATTTTTATTCAACTCACAACAGAAGAGATACAGAACAATTTATACATTGTAAAATAATTATAGATCAGGGCAAAAAGGTTAATCTTTTATTTGTTTACTGTGCAGACATAAGATGCAGAAACTAAATTGATGCGAGGATCGGGATGATGAACACATTTTTGTTCTCTTGTTCATTTGTGCCTGCAGATAGCTGGTACGCCTTCACGGGAAATTGGATGAGCAATTTGATTAAACAATGTTCTGCCTTATGTGCTTGTTCAGGAGAATATTTTATTAATGAATTGCACGCTTTTTCTTTTCTTGAGGTATGCTGCCCCTTCGCGGTAGAGTGTACCTGTTTACATACCATCACTTTCGAGACGACGCTTTGTTTCCGACTGTTACTTTATGAAGGTGGAACATTCAGAGGCCTCGTCGGTTTGCAGGATGTAAAAAATCGTAAGCAAAGACCCATAAAAATAAACTCTTCCAACATTTCACGTGAAATCCCACATTCGCCCGCTACAAAAGCTACTTCTAAACTTTGAATGGCCCGTGGAGTGGTAAATGTCCGTGGTTCCTGGCGACAACAATTATCGTCCAAATACAATCGTGTAGGTTCGAAATGCGCCAGGGTTAGAATAAGATTCCCACTCAATAACGTACTTTCCCATTGAGAAATATACGGTTTGCTATCTGAATTATTTGTATAATTATCACAATATGCACATTTTTTTCGGTTTGGTGGGCCGATCTCCACACTCATTAAATGAACTGGAAAAGCATACATTAAGCAAGAGCACTTTGGTCAAACATTCAAGAGTTTGTGGAAGCCACAAGGTACGTCCGGCGCTCGTGTTGTTAAATTCTAACCTAGTATTTTGTGAAATAAAATAGTTGCACCTTTCGTTTTGAAATTACTCGCCTCAATACGAAAGGGATAAATAACAGATTACGTTTCGATATGAATGTCCTGGGTCACATTTTTAATTTGAAAGGGCGTACAAGGAAGTTTGTCTAAATATGAGCAAGCAATATCAGAGAGTTTTTCTGGCTCTGTCGAAAGTTATGGAACGGAACAGGTACCAGAGATATCTCCACGATAAGATCACAATGTCACGTCCCCATGCCCAGGTTTGGGGAAATTACGTACATTATTTTGTTGAGGTATACTACAACAAATTGTTAAGTATGCATATGCTATTTTTATCCTCGTTTAGAGACAATAGTCGAGGTTCGATGAATGGCAAGAGCAGTGGATTTGGCAACAGGGCGTTGGTCAAAAGAAGCCTGCGGTCGCTGCCAGGCCATGTAACGAGAGGCTTCTTCGCAGTACGGGAAAGAGAGGGTAACGCGAGCTCACCTTACTCGCCCGTCACAAATCCTGTGCGACCAGAGCGTGAGTTCGCGCAACGCGTTCTACACATTTTCGTATTCAAAACTCAGAAAGAAAAAGAAAGAAAGAAAGAAAGAAAGAAAGAAAGAAAGAAAGAAAGAAAGAAAGAAAGAAAGAAAGAAAGATTCTGTTCAAAAACGATTTTAGTAATTGTGCAACCATAAGTGTTCAGTGATAAAAATAGGTCATATAACAGAAATTAGTAGATTAACATGTGAAAAATAGGAGTGGATTATCGGTTGTCAAGAAAGAAACATTATTTTTGTTTTCATTGTCTTCTATTTGGTGGTGTCAAAACGTGGACAAAAAGTGGAATTAAAGATACGAATCATTTGCCAGTAAAATCTTAAACATTCACCCCTACCTAAGCTTCACAAGCTTCCTAAACAATGAGATGTATTTAAAGTATTTTCTGCGAAAAAATAATGCTAATCAGCAACTGGATGAAACATATACAATTTCATTCTCAAACATTACGAACTTGAAGCCCAAATAGGTTTTATTTTTTAGTCGCATAAACCTAATTGATACAATGAAATTTTGCGGATTTTGAATTAGTGGGTTTGTAGTTTGTATTGCGCGGTCTTGGCGAAAGAGAGGAGTCAAATATCTCGGGCGTTTTCAAGAGACTATTTAGTTAAATGTCAACTCTTGATAACAATTTTAAAAAATAATTTAGAAAAAACAATGTTGTTTAAAGGAATTTTAAAGAAAGGCAATATTCACGCGAGAATAAATGCAGTAATTATGCCCCAATAGGGAAGAAAGAAAAGAAAGAAAAAGCAGAGCTGGGGCAAAGATAGGATTGAAAAAAACTTAATATATCAGGTATGTTGAGTGTGGTAACTGCATATAATTTTTAAATGCTCTTGCCCCCTTAAGTCCGACATTCTGGAGTCGCCTTTCACTGCTAGAAATATAGTGTGTTTCTAACATTTAAGTACAAGAAGATTGAAGATGAACATGAACAAATTACAAATTTGAGATATATGAAAACAATAATAAAAATGAATGATTTACTAAAAGACACAAACAAATAAATTACAATGGTATTACTACAATAGTCAAAGACAAATCTGGGCAATGTTTCCAAACTAGCAATAAACGGTAAAAACAACAACAAACGTTTAGCAACCATTAAAATTGTAGAAGATACTAAAGGAAGAACTATTTTATAAAGGTATACGACAATAAGTAAAATAATGTAATTTAAATCTGAATTGTAACATTAGGCTAAAAGCTGAATTGAAAGAAATTACAGTTTGTCAAGTTGAAAAACAGAAAATTAACAGGAGAAGAAAATGAACCAAATTACGAATGAATGACTAAATATGGAAGATGCGAAATAAGGCAAAAATTGTTGAATTTATTAAAAAAATAATCAAAATCAATCATTGTAGATTAAAAAATATCATAATTTTAGTTTTCATAACGAGAGAAGTATGAGGGATTACACACTAAATTGTGTAATGTCACGAAAGAAGTCGCACAATTAATTCTACAGTGGATTTGACAAATATTAACAAACTTCTCAATTATAACAATTGTTTAGTATATTAATATAAATAGTTTTTATGTTCAAATATTTAGAATAACTATTTTTACGCTATTTCTGAGTTTTGACTCTTCTTCCAATATCTCAAAGACTTAACTGACACCATCTTCATTTAGCCTTTCTTGTTCTGTAACTATTGTCGTTTTCTTCCTCAACAGCGCTGTCACTTTCTTTACATTCGTATTAAAACACTATATCTTCCGTGGATTCTTTCAATGACTTCCAAGTTTCTTAAACTAAACTTGCATATAATGATTTGCAATGCTTCTATAAAAATGTTAATTATGAATAAATATCGTTTATTACAGCTTATTTCACAATTAGAAAATAAAATAATTCATTCTTTTTATTAAGAGAAAGAATGAAGAGAAAAAAAACTTTATAATGGTATGACGTTTTACTTACTTATTGCCTCCAAAACGAGAATTGAAGTAAAAGCAATCAAACATGCATTCTTGAACATCCAACTTTTGTAAATTTTGTTATGAATAATTTTCAATAAGTCATTTTATAACAATTTTGAAATAGAAATGGTACCCTACCAGACTCACGGTGTACTTTGTACAACATAGATGTATTGCTTTCCATTTCACATTCACCTCTACAGCAGATACATAATTTCAAAGTCATCAAGAAAACAATAGTGGAATAGCATACGTCATTATTTCAAAAATAATGACCAATGAAGAGATAAATGAAATTTCTGTGAAGTGTTATTTGTTTTTCAACAGCGCAGCCACAAGGTGGGATTAAAGGGAAGTTACGTTTAAGGAAATTACGTGCTTCAGTAATGGGATATTGGTGCGTGATGTACGAATCAGGTCATATCTAACGTCTCACGGGAATATGAGTTTTGGCGCCATCATGCAGTGACAAAAGGAGTCACCCTCGGCCGCTTCACTCTTGCTGAAGAGGTATGTACTTATTTACTTTTACCATTTGTGTTGCTTATTTTGTACAGTGTTACTTATTCTCATATATTTGTGCATTTGGATCCAAGGGCGCCTAGATTGAGTGATAAATGGTATGCTTTTTGGATCGCTTTAGTATTTAAAGTTAAGGTTGCTAATTACTTGACTATATGAATTACTTTAAGAAATTGGGAGAGGATTTATAAATATGTGTATTACTGACGAGAAAGAAACGTGTACAAATTATCTATTTAATGTACTAATCTGGATATGCAAATACTATAACCTCAAATGTTATGTACCAGATCGAAGATTTTGTTGGTACAGTTTGTTTCATTTTCCCCTCAAAACATAAGCACAGTTTTGCGCTATTCTCGAGCATTTCCGAATCTTCTCTGAACGAAAACAAAAGGTTTGCGTTAATACTGCGGCCCCTCGGTGTACGACTAATAATATCTAGTGACAGCATCAAACAACAATGAACTAGAATTCTTTCCAAGAATTATGATTCTCGCAAGTGATTGGATTTAATAAAACTCAACGTAAAGCGGTATAATTACTAACTCTTCTGGCGAAATTGAGGGAAAATCAGCCAGAAAAAAGTTTTCTTTAGATTATGTGTCAGTATGACAGATACTGTGAGCTCTTGAATTTCACGATTGATATTTCCCGTTATATGCTTTATAACGGGAAATATCGAATCGTGGGAAAGAGGGCCGAGCCGTGAAATGGGAAGAATAATTCTGTGGCCAGGTATAAACAAAAGCATAGCAGCATTCCAAAAATATATTACTGTAAATCGAGCACGTTTCTTCCAATATAATACTTACGGAATATGTACTTTTATTCGACAAAGTAGAAGCACTACTTAAATAAACTTGAAATCTTTCGATTTTTTTCGTGAATCTCTTAAAAAATGACATGAAAAAAATACTAAAACTGATTAAGTATTAAATTACTGAACACCAAATAACATTTATGATCACCCGATTTACATTTGTAACATATTACTGGCAGTTTTATTGCGAGGAAAAATACGTCATTTCAAAAATACAAATTACACAAAATAAACCGTACATAAAAGGTGGTTCATTTAATTTTAATAGTTTTGTAAAAACGTTTTTGAAAATGTATTGATTCTTTATTATTTGAAGTTCATGTTCATTTATTATTTGAAGTTCACTCTAATGACTAAAGGGTACCCCCGGATAAAATGGTAAAAAGTTATCGGAAACCAAATTACTTTTGAGTAGATAAACAATGACTAACATAAAAAAAAATATTTTTGAGAGGTTTCTTAACACCCCTCCCAACATCACTATCCCTCTTCAGCTAAAAACATGCTTTTTTATTTTAATATTTTGTCTGCTTAACATTATTTTATTTGATTGAAAAAAAGAAAATTGAGACTCTCAATATTTTTTTTATTTTCTCGGATTCAAACGCAAAAAAATATTTTTGAAAAAATAACAAAAAATATTTTTTACTTCCATAGAACCCTGGAACACGTACGAAAAAAATTAAAACTTCCCCTGAAAACACCAATTGTGAATTGTTTCGGATTTTTTCAATTCGTGGGCTATAGTTAAAAAAATAAAACCTATGTTTCTCATTTTCCCCTTTTAAATCACTTTTGACTTTAAATACACTTTGGAAATGACTGCAACAGTTTTGTACATTTATTTTAGTGTTGATTATACATTTATATACATTGCTGTAGCACCCAGTAATGTTTTGATGTTGGTTTTAGTTACTTATTTATCATATTTTTAAAGCTTTGTAATCCTTCGGAGGTTAATTTAATGTTAGGTAACAAAAAAACAAACATGTTTTTGACTGTGGAGGGGAAGTGGTGGTGGGAGTAAAGCTAAGAAACCTTTCCGAAATCTTATTTATATGATAGAGACATAGTTTAACTACTCATAATTCATTTTATTTTAGGCGTCTTTTTACCATCTTATCCGGGAGGACCCTTTGGTTAGTATTTAACCGCAATGATATTTGTATAATTATTTGCCAAAACAAAAAAGTCATAATTGTTAAAATTAAAAGTCAATTGAATACTGAGACTAGGGACTCATTGGGTTTAAATTCAAATGAACTGTTCCCCAAAGTCAGGGAAATTTAGAATAAAATTAATTTAAAATACGCCATGCCTGAAACTGAACAGAAGCGACTGGGTTTATAGAATTGTCAGTAGGTTGAATTCCTGTAATTGAGATGCAAAAGGAGTACAGGCTTCGAGAAGGCTCCTGAGAAGTAAGGAGTAAAGTGAAAAATTACAGACTGTGTACAAATTATCTTACCATAGATTCCTCGTTAATAGAATCAAGTGACAACACGGTGACATGAAAGTACACAATCGTTGGCTGCCCCTGCACCTTCGGAGGCCGATTTTTATCGTACGTTTTGGGATCCAGCGGCAGGATGTCTTTGAGCGAAAGGCTGGTTTCTCCAGGAGGAGTCGGAGCTGTGTGTCCTCCACGATTTGACCTGCAACAATTACGCTCAACTACCATCTCTGTGACACTTGTCGGCCAATTACGCCAATTAACAGCAACCATCACTATTTGTATATTCACTATGCTCTTACAAAATATTTTATGAAAAGCGTGATGCAAAGTAAAAGGTGTTTTGAATTCTAAGGGCGAGATATTTTTAAACGAAGCTTACGGCGTACTTGTAACGTTCCGTTGGCGTTTCATACACTTTGAAATGACAAAAAAAGCATATTAATATATACCAATTCTTCATATAGTAGAGTATAATAGATCATTTGACAATACAAAATGAAGAAATGATATGTGTCCCACATGGCGAAGAAGCACGCGTTACCTGAACCACAACTTTGAAGAAGTATCTCCACAGAAGTTTTACGAATTAAACTCTGTTCTCTACTGAATAAACATAAGACTTAGATTTGATTTTATTGAGCCATCTATCACGAATAGAAAATAAACGGACAAAAGTCACTTTTTTCTGCAGACTCCAAATTTTCGATTAATAAAACCTTACCCACGACGCGGGAATGCACTAGTTTTAATAAAGGTGAACTGTTCCCTTGAAAACTTTAACTTTATTTGGGTCGATTCGAATTTCTTCAGTATTTCACTGTCTCCCGTTAAATGGAAAACCCCGTTTATGTATCAAAAACCAAGTTCATAACAATGCCATTACGAGTTATGTTGTTGCAAATATTCTGAAGAAAGTAACATGAAGTTCCACAAATAAGAGTTGAGATTTTCTTCAGATTTTGTATATTGCTACAACTGGCGTAGTTGACAGCAACAAAATACCAACAGGCAACCGCCAATTCATAATGGTGTTTGGTAATTTAACAGACACAAACCAATAGGGGGGAGTCAGCGACAAAACACAGTGTAGTTCTTTCGCTTTATGTTTCTTTAGAGATGAGTTACTTTTTTAACAGTTAGGAACATAAACATGTTGCGACCTTACTTTAGAATCTATCTATATAGAAAAGTATTGTACACTTGAAAAACAGTGAATGTTAAACTAGTTCTACAATAAAATGACGGGCCAACATGTGTTCTGTGTGCAAAGAAATAACCGCAAATAGAGAGTCTTCAAAATTGTGCTGATTGCCAAAATTGTCAAAATTGCTAGATGCTCTATTGTACAAGTAAAATGGGAAAAGTGGTGTTTGTCATTGCATGTAAGAATTAGTGTTTTGGAAATGGTTATCCAAATTTAAAGACGTTGCCAGTAAAACGTTAAAAATACTTTTAATGACTTAAGATAGAATATATGTCAATTTTTAGCATTAGACTTGTACAATTTCTGCTATTTTTGTTTTTATGCCCTGCTCCTATACAAGCTGCATTGTGTACTTCATATAATTTTCATTGTGTATCATTGTATTTCAAGTGTAGTGTATTAAATGTAATTTCCTAATATGATCTTAATTTCTTTTATCTGGAGCAAAATATTTCCCTTGAAATATATCAAATTAGCTGAAATTATGTTGCAGAACTTAAATTGTGCTTTTTACATGGATTGCGTACTGTGTATAGAAGTGGGACTGTTCAATGTAGTCATGTGGTCAAGCTGACCGTATTTTGTATTTGTTCGTGACTTGACCTGAGATGTTCTGTTAAATTCTGATGTATTCTAACTCTTTTTCTTGCACAAAATATGTTCATGTGCTCACTGAAGATGTTCCCTTCGAATATCTCGTGCACCGTTGTAGATACCAAGAAGAGGTGTTCACTAAAATTAACGTGTGGAACATAGGATGATATACAATACAGTTGCATTTACAGATATCGAGTACAATATAACGAGATAACGAGACTTTTATTTTTGAAATGGAACCCTATATATTTTTAGCCTATGATGAGGAGCATGGAGAGACGTGTTCAAACAAATACATATTCTCCTGTGTTACAAACAATATTTTTTGAGAAATTTAGAGATTTTACGTTTAGGGCGGCTCCTAATATCACCATGACGGGCAAATGCAACGCTTCCCTTTCAGACCCCCCTCTTTGGAATCCCTTCCAGCTAACGGTCTCAACCGCGATCACTAAGCCAAGAGCACTCGCCGCCAAGTCAGGGAGTTTTTCACGTCGCTGTTACGACATCAAATAACGTGTTATCAATATAAAATAACTTGTCAGCAACATACTATTTTTACACAATATTACTTACACTACTTAACATTTACAAGTGGCATATCGTCATAATCCCCTTTTTTATGATCCAATTATTGCAGATGAATAAATTCAATGAATTAAAAGATCAAAGACGATTAAATTTCTGCAAATATTAAACTATTACATATAGTACATCAACAACATATTACTTGTGTTCAGCATTGTAGAGAGAAAATTGAATATCTTTGTTGTGACCCATTAAGAAGTTATGGAGGCCAGCCAAGATTTGTGAAATGAATGCGAATCATTTCCATCTTACTCACTGATTATACCCCCCGTTTTGTTTGCATCATTGAGTATAAAAAATCACTCACATGACTGTTTAAACAGACTATAATTAGTTCGCAATCGAGGAGATGAAGACAAATAGGACGATGTATTGAACATTTAAATTCGACTCCTGTCGAATTGAATTACATCAAGAAGGTGTTTCTTAATCCAAAATGCAACAAGACAGTTCTTATAATCATCATTATGCTGGTCTTCTAAATAATTATGATAGTTACAGAGAAAAATACAAATAACCTCCTGCGATAGTGGCAGACTATTAAAAATTGGTGTGGACGCAAAATCACTAAATTTCTCAAAAATATTATGCAACATAGGGTAATATGCGTGTGTATGAACTCACCTCTTCACGTAACTATTGCGGGCTAAAGAAATCTACAGGTTTTCATTTAAATCGTCAATCGATATCTCTGGAATTAAAAAAAAACTATAGTTGAATACTACGTATTATTTTATTGAGCCCATCTTATACGTTCGTTTGAGTGAAAATCGCATTTCAATATCAGCAATGGAGCAGAAGATAAAACCTGCGTGATAACAATACCTGCAACGGTTGGTTGTATTAACAAACTGAAAATATTTCAATTCTAACTTGCAGAAATGATAATTCACGCAATTAGTTTAACGCAATTAGTTAAATTAGTTTAATGTTAACTTTTATTGCACAAATACATATTTTTAAACGAGCGACGTTAGGAGATATCACATTTGAACGAATGCAATAAAGCAGCATTGTAAACGAGTTGCATACGCTATTGTTTGTATAACAGCATTATAAATTTATAAGTTAATCAAACTTAATTTTGCGAAACAAGAGTGACGTATCGGGTATTTGATCTCTGTGCGGGAAAACTGTGGTTCGCTCTTCCGTTTACCTCTACTGCGATTGGCTGAATGGTTGATGACACAATCATTCGTGTCGTAAGAACTAATACGCCATTATTTGTGCCGTACAATTCCCGACTGTGAACAATTTCTTGCAACAGAAAAGGTATTTTATAATGATGGTATACAAAAATGTGTATAACGCATTGCTAAATAATGTAGAATTAATTCTTTTTTCAAGGTTCTGTTACAATTTTGTAAAACAAATTCTGTTTATTATAGCCATCTACTGGCGTGAAACGCTTTTGGAGTAGTTTTCCTTTAATTTTAGGCAGTCGAAGTCAGTCATTGCCTTTCATCCTTTCGGGAGGGGCTCGTCGCCGGGGTTCCCAGACGGCCACCCAAGAAATGACCCGCGGTATCAAGCATCGTTTAACCTCCGCGACTTAAAGGAGCGTAATTACGAGATTCGACTAAAACTTAAAATGCTCTTTGAAATAATGACGCAACCCACGTTTTGGTTGAATATGAGCTGCTGGCGGATTTGTGCTTTTTGGCGCAATGGGTGTCTAAACGCAAATACGTATTTATTCACACAATAATTTTATTCCCGCCGAACTAGAGCAATTTTCTGAATAAGCGGTATCAGTCTGAATCATTACTTAATGCTTTAACGTGACAACGCGTCGATACATAGTACGCGCTTCATTGCTTTCAGAAAATTTCTATTTTCAGATTTGTTAACTTCTGACAGGTAGAGTAAAACACAAGAAGTAAACTTATGTGGGGTGCCTGTTGAAATGTAAAAATTCATAGATCTATTTTAAAACAGCTTGATCGTGTCTCATTTATGGCACATTGTATACCCACAAAAGTAAAACATTTTATCAACCCTTGAATAAAAAATAGAATTACGGGAATTTTACATTAGCGACAAGCGATAAGACCGCCGGGGCTTCAAGTGCAGCGCTGTGCCTGCGCGTCTTATTGAGTTCTAACTTTGTGCTACTAGTGAGTTTTCGAGAGAGCAAATTCAACTGTTTTCGTTGTTTAAACATTACGGGTGACGTGCGACTCTGTCCGCATTACCCACGAAGTGCCTGTGAACAGTGTTAACAACCAGAACCTCAATGCTCAAACCTCAAGATACGCAGCACTCATTGCTCTCTGAGGTGATCTCAGGGGCGCTGAACACAATCAACGGGGGCCCTCAACAGTGGCTCCCCGGATCCATCGATCAACAGCACATCTTCCATCAACAATCACCTCCGGTCCACCATCAGTTTCAACATACAAATCACCAGCAATGGCAAGGACAACCGCAACACGATTTGTCAACAGGCGCAAGTAAATTCGCTCCGCAAACGCACTTCCATGCTACGCAGCAAAGCCACCAATACTATGATGCCACCAGTGAAATAAATTTCCCAAAGAGAAAGCGGGTCGAACAAGTGAACCCCGAACAATATCAGAACTCAGTTTGCTCGCCGAGTAAATTAGCCAATCTCGATGATGCTTCAGACAGCCCACAACCCTCCCAGCTACCACCCCAGTCAGAAACTAAGCCACCACCTATTCGTTGCACGCCATAGGTCCAACAAATTTTTAAAATCTCTTAGGTGAACTGAACAATGTTTGTGCGAATAGCTTCTCCACACCTAATTGCGGCCAAGTAGTAGAAGTAAATACTTTCATAAGCTCAG